TGCAAATCTTCTCGCAAGTATTTTTGTTCGGATCTGCACACTCGTCAACATCTGACAAACAAAAGCATCATAATACACATTGGTCACCATTTATATCCCAAACATATAGTTTTTGTTAAATGGGTTTTAAAATACTCCATAAGGTTGAATAAGAATGGTATTAAGGGATGAAATAGAATAAAATAATATCTAGACCCCACTTATACCTTATTTATTAGGTCGTTGTCCCACTCATATAAAGACTTAAAAATAAAATCAGCTCGGTGCTACAGTACAAAAGTACCAATGCAGGAGGGTTTAATTAATACCAGCTGGGGTGGTATAATAATGGGTAATAAACCAAGACATGGTATTATAAGGATAAATTACAGCATTATCCTTTTCAATGTTTATGTTCTACACCAAGACGAATGTATTAAAGACAGTTGACACCAAATAGTGTCTTACTTTTTTTTTTATTGTGGGGACTACAAGAAATACAAATTACCATATTAAATTATGCCTATCAAACTCAAAGAGTTGGAATGGGTTGGAATAGATATTCTAATCCCGTCCAACTAATTCCTTTGAAATAAACATGCTCACTGAAACTATTTCAAAAGTGTGAAGGCTAAATTATGCCTATCAAACTATTTAAGGATGATTTATGATATTTACTCATGTAACAAGCACCAACCTTGGCAGGGACTGAGATAGGGATTGCCTTCATAGCCTTTTAAGCAGCTACAGCTATACCCTCTCAATCCTTTGTCTGAAAATGAATCAGCACAGGTGCTATTTGCTTGACAGATCAAAGCTCCTGAACTTTGCGCTTCACTGCAACTCTGATTCCCAATAACCCAGTCGATCGCTATTGGAACACTGGACTCTGTCCTGTTCTTGAATGTCGGGTCGGAAAAGTCTGACGCGCCGCCAAATGTAAAGCTGTCTTGCTCGCCAAGAAAAGCATAACCGCAACGCGCAAAGGACCAGACATTGGTGTGATTGTTCAGACTGCCCAAGGCAGCGCCAAAAGCCTGTATACCCGTTGGTATCGGAATGTTACAGCAACCAATCCCAGAACAATTACCGCTAGTTACGTACTCACTCGCTGAACAGAGGGAGATACACCCACTGCTAAAGTTACGCCCAATTGTCGCTGCTGTCGTTGCTATTATTGCTAAATCGTCACAGCCGATGACCGTGAACTTGTTTGTATCGGAGAAGGCGAAGTATTGAGAAGCTAAATTAATCCCCACCGTGTTTGATGAGGTCAACCCGCCGTTTTGATCATAGCATTCGGCAGCAATCCGCGTCTTAACGCGTAATTGGGTCTCCGATATGTTGATTACTTCGAGCTTGCCTGTGTTCAAGAAGGGTTTCGGAGGATTGAATGAAGTACTGCAGTTGATATCGAATACTGGGTCAATGGAACAACCCGTTCCTATGCCGATGCCAAATGGGTATCGAACTGTTAGGTTTCCACATTGGCTTTCGCAGCCTGGTTTAGAGATTATGGTGGTGGCGGCGGCGGCGGCGGCGGCGAGAGCCAATGTGAGGCCATAGAGACAGAACCAAACAAGTTTTTGAAGCATCTTCGTTTGCCTGGTTATAGTATTACCCCGCCCATCTTATAGGCGATCTATTCTTCTTAATTCTTCTTAATTTTTAGGTACAATTACTCCTAGGAAGATTTGTCATTTAATTAGACATACCCCCTTTAAATTTGATAAATTATACTAAAACCCTTTGTAGTTTGTGCGCGTGCCCTTGTCTTCAAGATCCATTAAATATAGGGTTAATCTCATTTTGCACCCCGAAAAATTGTTTAAATTTTAATTTATACCTTCACAAATTAAAAATCTTAATTTAAACCCTCAAAGATAGAAAATTATTTCAATGTACACCCCCAAAGNTACCCCGAAAAATTGTTCGAATTTTAATTTATACCTTCAAAGATTAAAAATCTTAATTTAAACCCTCAAAGATAGAAAATTATTTCAATGTACACCCCCAAAGATCAAAAATCTCNCACCCCGAAAAATTGTTTAAATTTTAATTTATACCTTCACAAATTAAAAATCTTAATTTAAACCCTCAAAGATAGAAAATTATTTCAATGTACACCCCCAAAGATCAAAAATCTCAATTTACACCCTCAAAGATAGAAATTTGTATCAATGTGCACCCCCAAAGATAAAAAAATCTCAATTTGCACTCTCAAAGATAGGAATTTATATCAATGTGCACCCCAAAGATAAAAAATCTCAATTTGCACTCTCAAATATAGAAATTTGTATCATTATGCACCTAAAACTAAATTGATAAATTATACCTAGATCCCCTCATGTTTGTCACTTAATCATTTGAACCCCTTCACCTTTAGAATATTACCCCCTACATCTCATGACGTTTGTACATGTGTAAACATAACCACTTTTCGTTGATATCTATTAATATAATCGTTAAAAAATATAATTTTATCCTAATAAAAAATTATAATTTCATATTACCCTTTATTTTGTGGATTCGATATACTCTAAAGTTCAAAATCAAGCTTACCATTTGAATGTCTAATAAAATGTAGATATTTATAAAAAGGAAAATATGAAAAACATTATATAAATATCTACATTTTATTAGACATTCAAATGGTAAACTTGATTTTGAACTTTAGAATATATTGGACCTATAAAATAAAGGTAATATGAAATTATAATTTTTTATTAGAATAAAATTATATTTTTTAACGGTTATATTAACAAATATCAATGAAAATGGGTTATATGTTGTAAGTGCATAAATGTCATGAGATGTAGGAGTAATATTCTAAATGTAAAGAGGTCCAAATGATTAAGTGACAAACATGAGAGGATCTATGTATAATTTATCAATTTAATTTTAGGTGCATAATGATACAAATTTCTATATTTGAGAGTGCAAATTGAGATTTTTTATCTTTGGGGTGCACATTGATATAAATTTCTATCTTTGAGAGTGCAAATTGAGATTTTTGATCTTTGGGGGTGCACATTGATACAAAATTCTATCTTTCAGGGTGCAAATTGAGATTTTTGCTCTTTGAGGGTACAAATTGAGATTCAAACTATTTTTCGGAATGTAAAATGAGATTAAACCTTAAATATACCGTAAAATTTGATGACATCAGTATCTTTTTATATAAAATACCCAAATTACCCTATCAACATTTCAACAAAAATCTAATAAAAATTAATAATTTTTAATTTTTGATTAAAACCCCAAGCCAACTCTCATCTCTCCTTCTATCACCACACCACCAACACCACTTCTTCTAGCACCAACGCCATCTCCATCACAGGTATGGTTTTCCTCATTTTTCTCTGCTACACCCAAACCAATTTCCTTTAATTCAAGAATTCACCAACTTTAACTCTCTATCAAACACTTCCTTTCACCACCATTTACCCAGCTACCATGACCCTCCTTTCATCACCACCGTTTACCCAGCCACCAATACCCTCCTTTTATCGTCCTTTACCTAGCAATATAATCTCTCTCATAACATAATAAAATAACCTAGCAACTCCCTAAACATCGTAGAGGGGAAAAAGAGAGGAAGATATTCTATTGGGTTGATCAGGTCGATTGGTTTTGGTTTTAGGGTATACGCTAGGTTTTTTTTTATATATATATTTTTTATCAAAGGGAAGAGTAGATATTTTGTAACTTTTGTTAGGGTTGTTAACTGACTGTTACTGATGGGGAGTTTTATTGTAATGTTTCAAACGTAAGTGGGTCTATTTGTTTAAGTGACAAACTTTAATGGGTCCGATTGTAATTTATCCTAATTTTTTTAGTTTTGCCGAATTACCGAGTCAACAAAAAAGGATAGGTCAACACGAAGACTAGCCGGCTCCCAAATGGCAGAATCATCTCTGCTTATGTTTACATAGTATTTTAGACTTTATTTGACTTATGTAATATTTTATTTATTTAATTATCCATTATAAAACACTAGTTAAAATTAATTTAATTGCCACTTACCCAACAAAAAAAAACTATTAATTACCTAATTTTTTTTAACGAGATTAACTACCTAATTCATTGATCAAATTTATCTTACTATAGATATAAAACTTAATCCACCATTAAAACTCGCCACAAATTTTTTTTTATAAGATATTCAGATTTGTATCGATTATTTTCTCGAGTTGGGAATGACCGCTATAACTCAAGCTAATTTAAAGACATGTCTTTTAAGAAATAAAAATGCTAACACTTAAATAGTGTGCGAGGATGAACCTAGCATGTTTATAATAAAGCTAATTATGAAGTTTTTTCTTTGCTGTCAGTCACCAATCACGTACTATTTTATCATTGACTAGAAAAACAGGAGAGAGAGAGAGAGAGAGAGAGAGCAGCCATGTTGGAATGGACCTGGGTTGATCATGTTGTCTTACATATTTAAACTTTTTTTAACCTACTTAGCCAGAAAATTAGAATTTTCCTTATGAATACATCCCGAAAGTCCAATAATCCAATCATTTTGCATTCCATATTTACAACTATATATGGAAGACTTGAGTTTACGTGTGGAATTGCAATTTGTAGTCTACAAGGGATAGACTGTGCATATCTCAAGTTTCTTTGAAGTCTTCTCTCCACAATATCAGTTGCTAAATGAAAGTTAATTTGACAGCTTTCTAGTGTCTTAGCTAATGGATCCAAGAGTACTTGTTGAATAATTTTTCGAAGAAAAAGAAGAGTACTTGTTGAATAATTTTCGAAGAATTTTTCAGCAAGGCTTGTTCTCCATAAAAATTTTAGGTTTTATTCTCTTATAGTTCAAATTCTTTTATGAGAATTTGGTTTCACACAAATACACGATATGATAATCCTTATTATAAACAATCAAATTATTATAATAATTTATCTTAATTATTATAAATAACCTAGCAAGACTTAGAGNACACAAATACACGATATGATAATCCTTATTACAAACAATCAAATTATTATAATAATTTATCTTAATTATTATAAATAACCTAGCAAGACTTAGAGTCTTCTCTCCACAATCAGCAAAATTAGGTAGTTTTTTGTCAGTGTCTCAGCTAATGGATTCAATGAACTTGTGAATAATACGAAAAATTAATGTTACATCCTCTAATAGTTTTTAAATAAAAATCTTATTTCACATGACCTGAGAATAGTGGCTATGATTGAATTTGATTCAAATTAACAAAATTATGAATTGATAGAATCCAAATCCTTTGTGGTGTAGTCCTTGGGTCACTATAAACTATAAGAGTAAATTACAACCACCTCCCTCGAGGTTTGTCCATATATCAATCAGACCCCCTCAGGTTAGATATATAACATTTTCTTCCCCTTTTACCGACGGCCGTCTATTCAAGTGGATGGTAAATGTACAAAGACGAGAATGCTCTTGACGGTGATATATATACATTGGTGCCAAAACACACTATCCTAGAAGACACGACCATTACCCTTTTACTCTTGCTCTACGTACATGATTCCCCATATTCCATGCTCTAAAGACCCATTTATACCTTAACACGTCATTTGATCGACGTATTATGAGAGAATTAAATATCAGATTGTACTATTCTTTATTTAATTGGGCCTAATAATTTGTTTGGTAAACAAATTTAATACCGTATTAATTTTAAAAATGTATACTCATCGTATATTTTTTATAGGATAAACCTATATTATAGAAATATTTTAATACTACCAAGAGAGATGATATTATAATTTAACTCAAACGTATTATTCTACACACTTACTATTATAACCCTCCAACAGATAAAATCAAGTTGTCATTAATGTAATAAATATTGATTGAGAGTATTTTTTTTAATTCAACATTAATACGATGAAATAATTCTCTAACCAAACAACCGATTGGATTAAATAACTACTATTCAACGTTTATATTGTGTATTGTTAAACATTAGATAAAATTACGTATTATTTTAATACCATATGTAATCTTGTCTTTTGTCCTGTTGTATTGTATTAGACTGTATTATTTTGTATAATCCATCCATTTATAATACGGCAACCAAACGAGCCCCAAGTGTTTTTTCTTATGCCCATAATCACTTTAATACATTTTTTTTAATAACACACTATGACATAAATTACAGATATTCATAGTGATTCCTATAGATTTTTGCTAACATTTCTTCAGACTTGTGGGAATTAACTCTCTTTCTGTCACATGAAAAGCGGCGTCACCGCAAGTTATTGTCAATTAAGTAACCTAAACAAAGTAAAATCTCTCCAATAATCCTAGGGATAGTAATATTAATTGTAAATGAGTATTTTGTTCCTATCGGGTTTCAATTAACATAATAATCTCATATTTAGTGTTTGGTTGTTGTTAGTAATCTGGTGAAGAATTCATATTATTTTCATATTTTCTAAGTTAAAAAAACGTAATATTAAAAAGAATGTTGATATTAGGAAGAGAGATTGATTTTTGGAATGAATTTAATTTTAAGGAGCTTCATTTTGGATTTTATTTTTTAAGAATAACCAATTAATATAGGTATGAGCTAGATTACCATAATTGGTCATCGGTTTAGGATACCCACCATGAGTCAAAAAGACTATATCGATCGATCTATTGTTTTCTAACAATTAAGGTGAAGAATTAATGAGATAAGCATCACCATGTATATAATTTGGATATTGTTGTATCCCTATCTATCTCATCACATCCTGATCGTGATTCTTTTTATCAACTTGAGCATCTGTTCATTCGTGAACCCTAGGTTTTAATATTTGATTTTCAAAACAATTGTTGTGAGAACCAGCTAAAGGAATATCTCTGTTCCCTTGGCCATGGCAGAAAGTATGATAAACCAGTTCCAATCTTTCTCTCTTACTGCAGAAGAAGAAGTAATTGTTGATTTTTACAACTCAGATATTGTGGAGGGTCTCCAAAAGTGAGAAAATAGTTTGTTTGATAAGATTCTAACTAATAAACTGGTGATCATAGTGGCACTAAATAATACAATGGCCTCTTGATGGGAGTGCAAGTTTTTAAAGATCAATAAAATGGATTCAAATATGTTCTAGTTTTTCTTTCCAGAAGAAAATTTCATGTGGAGAATATTGAACTCGGGGCCGTGGTGTTTTGATAATCATTTTTCACCTGTGGGTGAGGAATATGGCCCTAAGCCAAATGAAGTTCGATAAGGCTTTGTTTTGGGTCCAAGTACAAGGGCTCTCCCATGAGTGCTGTACAAAAGAAGTAGCACAAAAGGTAGCATGTAGCTTTTCCAAATACGAGGTGGTGGAAATAAGGGAGAAATTTGCAAGTGGACATCGATTTATGAGACTACGAGTTGAAATTCTTGTGATAACTCCTCTTCGAAGGGGATTTAAGCTTCGNAAGGGAGAAATTTGCAAGTGGACATCGATTTATGAGACTACGAGTTGAAATTCTTGTGATAACTCCTCTTCGAAGGGGATTTAAGCTTCGAGATCTAAATGGAACCATGTGCTTTGGTACCTTTCAATATGAGAGACTAACACATCTCTGTTTTTATTGTGGGAGAATGGGTCACATAGGGAAGAAATGTCGAGGAATGAAAATGGATATGGCAAAAGGCGTTCAGAAAGAAAGCCAATATAACCCTTGGCTATCAGCAACCACCAGTAAATCCCTACGTATTCNCGAGATCTAAATGGAACCATGTGCTTTGGTACCTTTCAATATGAGAGACTAACACACCTCTGTTTTTATTGTGGGAGAATGGGTCACATAGGGAAGAAATGTCAAGGAATGAAAATGGATATGGCAAAAGGCATTCAGAAAGAAAGCCAATATAACCCTTGGCTATCAGCAACCACCAGTAAATCCCTACGTATTCACAACTCCAATTAGATGATGGGCCTCCAACCATGGCTCTGATGGATGCCGGAGACTGGAGGGATCAAACTAATGAATGCAATCCCAGTCGGAATTATAGCGAATCGATGATAGGGGATAGTTGTGGGGATTGTTCTGGAAATAGTGGCTCGAGGGGGGGCCGCAAAATTTGTCGTTGGGGAAGGAAAGGGGCGAGATTCTCCGGTAAGAGCTGGAATAATGAGTATGGAAAGCACTGATCCAAGCGGTTCTGTGAGAGTTAGAGATTTGAATGATGGGTAGTGGGAGTCAATTGTCAACGAACCAACTATGGATATGGGTCATGGCAGTATAGGTCAAGGCCAATGTCTGACTGTACTTGATGCTTCCAATTTAGTGGAGGTGGGTCTAGTCTCATTAATCCCAGAGCAATCCCATGAACCATTGGGTCTTAATACTAATGGATTGGAACTTCAATCAATGAAGTGTGTACTAGGGGTGGCTCCATCCTACTTGATAAATCAATCAAGAAGGTGAAGCCTCTATCCAGAAAAGAAAAGGGAAAATGGGTTAGGGTTTCTCAAAGTTCTCTAAGGGAAAAAAGTTGGGATGTCTAGGAACTGCAAATTGGAGCCAAACAAAAGGAACCCAATATACTCCATGATCGGAGCATGGCGGCTGTGGAAACAATCAGATGGGAAATAAGAGACCAACCAATCACCTACGTAGACTGAACCCCAGTCCTCCTGACAACTATATTGGCGTTCTATGGAACTGCCGAGGGTTTGGGAACCCTCGGACAGGTCGAGCTCTTAACGACCTTGTGAAGAGGGAAGACCCCATTTTTGTCTTCTTAATGGAGACAAGGTTACAAGAAGCAAAATTTGAAAGAATAAAACACAGCATCGAGCTTACTCAAGGATTAATTATGTAAGCTCATGGAAGAGCAGGAGCTTTGGCTTTATTATGGAGGCGAGGTGAGCAACTAAACATCAAAAGTTATTCGGATTTTCATATTGAGGCCATTTTTAACGAATGGAGTGAAAAAGAGTGGGGGTTTGTTGGTTTCTACGGTCACCCGGATGCAACAAAGGGAAAAAGATCATGGTCCTTATTGTCATCTTTGAGTAATAGGTTTGATATGACGTGGGTGTGCGAAGGTGACTTTAACGAGATAATCTCAATTGAAGAAAAGATGGGTGGGGCAGTCAAACCAATATAGCAGATGAAGGATTACAAGGAGGCAACTGAAAGATGGGGGCTTTTGGATTTGAGATTCCAGGGATTCCCATTTACTTTGTGTAAGGGGAATATACACCCTTTCATGGTGAAGGAGAGACTTGATAAGGTTTGGGGTTCAGCTCAGTGGATTTCATTGTTCCCAAATAGCAGCGTGATTCATATGCCTACCACAGACTCAAACCATTGCCAATTAATTTTAAAAGCAGGAACCCCATCGAGCGCTAATTGAGTTACAAAACGAAAGCGTTTCAAATTTAAAGCGATGCGTGCGAAGGAATCAGATTGTATTGAAGTAGTTCGAAGGAACTGGATAGCCCCACCATCCAATTCTTTGGAGGAGGCAATTCATGAATAAAATGAGACCTTGCCGTGTGGGTTTATTAAGGTGGAATTAGGAGAAGTTTGGGCACGTGGGTAGGCAATTGCAAGAGAATAGGCGAATGATTGGCTTGTTACAAATAGAAGAGTTAGATGACGAGTGCAAAAAATAATTGAAGGTAATCCATAATCACACTTATCAGTTTTTAGAAGCAGAGGAAACTATATGGAGGCAAATGTCGAAATCTCCATGGCTACGAGAAGGGGATTGAAATACCAATTTTTTTCAAGCACAAGAAATAGTGAGTTGCCAAAGGAATACTATCAGAGGCCTTAAAGATAGTAATGGAGTGAGGAGATTGGATCCAAGCCAAATCCAGCAGATTGCAGCTAACTACTTCAAGAATTTATTTGAGTCCAGCAATCCTTGCCTAATCACAATTGAGGAAGTGGTAAGTTGTCTACCATGTAGAGTAATTCCCCAGACGAATGAATCATTGATCAAGGAGTTCAACAAGGGTGAAATATGGGAAGCTATAAACCAAATCCATCCAGCAAAGGCCCCTGGTCCTTATGGTATGTCGGTTGATTTCTACCCAAAAATTCTGGACTGTGGTGGGAGAAGATGTTATTAAGGCATCTTTAGAATTTTTAAACTATGGGCACTTTTGCCCAAAGCTGAACTACACTCACCTTGCCATGATTCCAAGATGTGTCACAATTTCACCCAATTAGCCTATGCAATGTAATAAACAAAATTATGTCAAAGGTACTAGCAAACAGGCTGAAACACATCTTGCCGAGCATTATCTCAAAAATACTAAAGTACTTTTGTACCTGGGAGACTCATCGCAGATAATGTTTTGAGCTAAATCATGCTCTGAGACAGATGAAAGGGGATGGCCAAGGGGCTCTATCTTTAAAATTAGACATGAGCAAAACATGTAATAGGGTGGGGGGTGGAATGATGTTTCTTTGAGTTGACAATGCGTAGGTTGGGTTTTGATCCGACATGGATTGGACTGGTAATGACTTGCATGGAAATGATTTCTTATTTTGTGGTGCTAAATTGTGAGTAAAGTGGATTTTTTAAACCAAAGAAGGGAATTAGACAGGGAGATCCATTATCCCCATATTTCTATTTATTTTGTGACGAAAGACTATCTGCGCTATTGTCAAGGGAAGAAACTATGGGCAAATTGGGAGGCCTTGTCGCTGGGCGAGAAGGTCTAGTGTTTTCTCATTTATTCTTCGTCAACGACAGCCATTTGTTTGAGAAGGCTACTACAAAGAATGGCAGAGCGATCAAGGGGTATTTGCAACAATATGAGAAGGCCTCGGGACAAAAAATTAATTTAGCCAAGTCTGCGATGGTATTTAGTAAAAATGCTAACCAAAATGACAGACACTTGCTACTTGAGATGCTCTAGGTTCCAGAGAAGGACTGCCATGAGAAATATTTGAGTTTGCCATCAGTGGTGGGGAAATTGAAGAGAGAGATTTTTTACTCTATTAGGCAAAGAGTGGGAATCCAAATTCAAGAANATGCTCTAGGTTCCAGAGAAGGACTGCCATGAGAAATATTTGAGTTTGCCATCAGTAGTGGGGAAATTGAAGAGAGAGATTTTTTACTCTATTAGGCAAAGAGTGGGAATCCAAATTCAAGGATGGATGGAGAAATTACACTATGGTGGGAAGAGAAATCTTTTTTAAGGTGGCGGCGTAATCGATATGCATGTATGTCATGTCTTGTTTCAAATTGCCCGACTCATTATGTAAGGACATTAATAGTATGGTGGCAAAGTTTTGGTGGGAGCAAGGGGAAGATGAAAGGAAAATTCATTGGGTGAGTTGGGAATACTTGTGCAAACAAAAATCTCAAGAGGGTCTTCGATTTAGAGATTTGGGGGCATTTAACTTAACCATGTTAGCTAAACAAATGTAGCGGATTCTTCAAAACCCAGAATCTATGTTAGCTAAGGTTTTAAAAGCTAAATACTTTCCGACATCTTCTATCTTGGACTTCTCCATCTCTTACTTGGCGAAGTTTGATGGCGGCGAAGAAGGTGGTTGAAACAGGTATAAAATGGCGAATTGGTGATGGTCAAAGTATAAGGATTCAGTTTGATAAGTGTATCACCATGCCTACATCCTTTTGGATTACCAGTACTATCCCAAATATGGATGTAGATACCAAGGTGAGCGACTAATTAACCAAGAACAAAAATGCTGGGATATGCAGAGAGTAAATCAACTGTTTCTCCCCTTTGAAGCCGAGTATATAGTTGTCATCCCCATTTGTGACCATCTTCTTGAGGATAGAGTTGTATGGCACTACACAAGATGGGGGATTTTCTCTGTGAAAAGTGCGTACCACATGATTATGAACCAAGGGCTGAATTGCATGCAAACGAAGAGAGAAGCTCCGAGTAGTAGTAGCGGTCACTGTTAAGGAAAATTCATTTGGAATCTAAGGCTCTCAAACAAGGTAAAGCATTTTGTTTGGCGAGCCATAAAAGATATTCTCCCTACTAAATGCAATCTTTGATGAAGGGGACTTAGTATTGACACAACATGCCCAATTTGCAATGATGCACACGAATTCATTGATCACATCTTCCCCAAGTGCCCAATAGCATTAGCGGTATGGCAACAAGTAGGAATTACATGCCCCAAAGATCCCCATCCTTTTACTGATTGGATGTGTGGTCATTCAGAGCAAACCCCATCGAAAAAGATGGGACTTCTATTCAAGGTGGCTTGGGCGATGTGGTTTAACAGAAACAAAGTAAGAGTTGCAGAAGCTGCTCTTAATCTTGGCCAAATTAGTCTGTATGCACAGAATTTTCATGGTCAAGTATTGATCGAAATGGTTCATAGGACCTCTACCCAACCCCATCTCCTAGGTGGAATTAGCACGTGGTGTGCCCCTTGTGAAGGAACCCTTAAGATTAATTTCGATGGTGCAATCAATGAGGAGAGGAAATGCCCTGGCATTGGTCATTGATAACGTATATCAATGTGGATGAGCTTGAGGTGAAAGTAATGTGAGATGAGCGTGGATCAGAGCTACGAGGCTCGTGTATGATGCTACAATAAAATATTGAGGGGATTAAAGGAGCGTACACAATAAAAATATAGTGGTTTATCGGCTCAGGAGCTCAGTTAGTCCACTCTTCAATGGAGGTTCTTGCTCCTTTTGTTTTATTCACGATGATTACAAGGTTGCTATGACTTCCTTTTGCCACTAGGGTTCCCCCCTGTTAGGGGNATATTGAGGGGATTAAAGGAGCGTACACAATAAAAATATAGTGGTTTATCGGCTCAAGAGCTCAGTTAGTCCACTCTTCAATGGAAGTTCTTGCTCCTTTTGTTTTATTCACGATGATTACAAGGTTGCTATGACTTCCTTTTGCCACTAGGGTTCCCCTCTGTTATGAGGTGTTACATTGCATTTATAAGGTCATTTCTTGCTAAGAAGGATTTTAGCCGAGATTTTTGCCCTTATTTCGTGGACTTCTCCTTAATTCTAGAAGAAGATCTTAGTTGGTTGAAANGATCTTGGTTGGTTGAGATTGGGTGCCTTGATTACAGCTTCCTAACGCTTTAGGATTCTCTCGTGGTTATCCAGTTGTTATCTTGCCNTTAATTCTAGAAGAAGATCTTAGTTGGTTGAAATTGAGTGCCTTGATTACAGCTTCCTAACGCTTTAGGATCCTCTCGTGGTTATCCAGCTGTTATCTTGTCTTAAGAGACACTCAGCCCTTACCCTCTGACCTCTGCTAATATGACTGACCTCCTGAGTTTAGCACTTGGATTTTATTTTAGGTATCATCAGTTGCCCCCCAGCCCTTGGTTCAAGCAGACTTGGGCATGGGCTGAGTTGCTTTCACATTGGACCAAGCCTGCACCTAGTTGACCTTAGTTCGCATGTGAGATGCACGTGGGGAGGGGGCTCTTTGATGGTTTACAGCAATCATGGCTTCCTCGATTCTCGTGCATATTTCAGCCCACGTCACTCAAGCTTTAAATGCTCAAACGGTTACCCAAAAATCGCTCAAAACTCCCTGTTCATCTTCTACGCTATTCACCTTTGCCTCTGCCTCTTTTCCTTTGCAATTTCTAGGCTTTCCTACACGCATTTAACTCATTCTCTGCTCAAGACTATGTTTTTCGGGTACGCCTCGAAATCTTGCTTTGCTTCTTCTCTCCAATTTCATCCTCGGTTGCTGTTTGCTACTCTCTTCCTTGTCTAGGTACGCCTTTTCTGCCCCTTCTCTTTCTCTTACCTTTCCCCGCTCTGGAGCCCTCGAATTCGAGGTGACTGTTGTTTTTCTGGGTTTTTTGGTTCTTTTACTTTTGGAATCGAGATTGTTGTTTATCTCCTCTTCCCCGCTTTGTGGATGGAACTCCACTGTGCAAATTCTTACCATTGGGGGGTACAGTGCTGACCCTAGGATTATTAGGGGGTGATTAGTATTCTTCTTTTCTATCATTCTTTCAATCTGTCTTTCTCTCTACCAATCATGTCTGCCTCCTCTGAAACAATTCCTTACTCTATTTCCCTCTTAGGCGATAGGTCTGCCGAAAAAAATTCTGATTTAGGGGATGTAGGTGACGAGATTGACAACTTTCCTGGTGTGGATTCTACCGAGGTAGAGGTGAAAACCGAGGAGGCCCCGTCCACTTCTTCTCTCATGCCTGATAGACCTGATAAGGGCAAGGGTAAAGTGAGTGGTGTGGGAGTCATTGGTTCAGGCATAGGGGCTACCTTTAGGAACGCTGAATTTGTAGGTCCCAGCGGACTTACCCCTACTGACCTGAAGGTTCTCAATGCTCACTTTCGTTTTTCCTTAGGGGTTCAGCCTTGGAGTACTGATAAGTACACCATATATGTTCACCATGTCCATAAGAAGGTCTGTTTCTTCCTGACAGCTTTTGATAACGGACTTCGGTTCCCCATTCATCCTTTTTTATCAAAGGTGTCATTCAACACTTCAATGTCTGTCATGCCCAGCTCTCCCCCAACTTTTGGGGTGTTCTTGTGGGTTTACTAGTCTTCTTTAAGGATCATAAGCTTGGGGTCCCTACTGTTTATACTTATAGAGCTGTTCAATGTTAAGTAGACCTCCTCTGACGGTTTTCTGTATATTTCCAAGAGGACTAAGGACAAACAGGTCATCTTTGACCTCCCACGCTCCTATAAGGGCTGGAAGAAACAATTTTTCTTTGTAGGTAGTACACAGTGGGAGTTCAACTCAGAGAATAAAACTGATACCCTCCCCATCCTTACAAAGTGGTCTGCCCCCGATAATTTGAGTATGTTTCTGCCCAGACCGTATTTAATCCAAGCCTGGCTACTTTGTTAACTTATTTCTTGTTTTCCTTGATTTTCTAAGTATCCAACCTGAGCTCAGCGCTGAAGAAGAGCGAGTATTGCGGAAATTAGAAAAGTGCAAACCAGAGAAAAATTCTGAGCTCATCCAACCTTGGGCTCTCGTAGAACACGGGCTCTACCTTTCTGTGGTGAGGGTTGAAGCTCTCCTTCCACTTTTCGTTGCTGGCCCCATCCCGCTTTTCGCCGAAGATATATGAGGTAACACTTTTTTTTGTACCCTCTCTCCTCTTTTCTCTGTCTAAGGGCGAGGCTTAGCTATTCTTAGGGCCCGTAGATTCATCCTAAATGAAGCCCACTACTACTGAACTCAGCGCTAAACTTTCCCAAATGAAGAATATCAAGGGCAACAACAAGAGCAGCAGCAAGAGTAGTGCCAAACGCAAGTCAGGACCCAGCTCTGCCAATGGCTCCCCTCCTCTTACCAAGGTGCCTAGGACAGACATGTCACTCACTCCCTCTGCTCCAACTATCACAAACTTCTCTTCCCAAAACGCTTTTCCTGCTACTTCAAGCGCTGCTGCGTTAGGATAGGCATCCCCCACTGCTTTTGAGGTCGAGAGAGCTGTGGAGACAATCTCCCAGATCTTGGCCTCTCTTAGTTCACCTGCTGCACCAATCAATCCTCTCCATCCTGAGGGTTCCAAGGCTGTGAAGGAGGAGCTCCTCAAGGCAGGCAAAAGTGAGGGCTCCTTTCTTGATAACTCCGACCTTGTTGCAGGGGCTCTCTCCTCTATTCTTCCCAATGCTAATATAAAAAAGACCTTTTCACTGTCTCTTGAGGATTCAATAAGCTCTATTCTTCACGGATTAACTGCGGTATGTTCTTGCTCACATTTATGACCTCTTCTTTCTTTTTGAACTTTCCTAGCNTATTCTTCCCAATGCTGATATAAAAAAGACCTTTTCACTGTCTCTTGAGGATTCAATAAGCTCTATTCTTCACGGATTAACTGCGGTATGTTCTTGCTCACATTTATGACCTCCTCTTTCTTTTTGAACTTTCCTAACTTTTGTCTATTTTCCTCTTGCCCCAAGTCTGCTATCCATGCCAAGAGCTTAATGAACAGGGTCCTGTCTGCGGAGAATTCTGCCAAAATGGTGAGGGTTTATGAAGTTAAGGTTGTCGAGTTGACTTTTTAAAATGATGATCTGCAAGTTTAACTATAAGAGCTACAAGACAAAGTGAGGAACCAGGCTTCCACCATTGAGGGCTTAGAAGCTGCGAAGGCCACAGTTGAGGAGGGGGAGAAAAAGGCTAGGGATGCCTAGTCTAAGGCTATCTAGGAGGCTTCTGCTTCTCAGAGCTCTTTTGCAAGTTTAACCAGATATTTTGTTGCCCTATCTAATGCTAATGACACCCTTTGCAGCGAGCTTAAAGGGCTGAATGCTGCTATATCTACAAAGGACAAAGACATTGCCAAGCTGCGAGATGATGTTGCAACCAAATGGGTCTCTGGGTGGCTTGCTTTCCAAGGAAAAGCTAAGGAGACCTACCTTGGCCTGAATTTCGACTTTGATGTTCCCAGCGATGAAGACATAGAGGTGGCTGAAGCAAAAGGTGAAGGTAAGCCCCCTGCCTCTTCAGACGTCCCTGCTGCCGAGCTCCCCTCCCCTGCTGACCTTGCCATTGAGGCTTTAGTTCTCCCACCTTCTATAGAGGCCCCACATTCAGAAGCTCCCCTCGTTGGATCTTTCCCAAACTCTGTTCATTTGCCTCTGTTCATTTGCCCATCACTTCTGCTGAGCTTCCAACTTCTAAACTTGCTTCTGCCCCCAGCTCTGGCAACTGACCAACAGAGCTCTGGCCTTATTCCCCCATCAGAAACTTAGGATGCAGAACAAGTTTTTTTTTTTGTGGCTTTGAGCTAATTATCTCAGAATTGTAACATTTTGAAATGGAATTTCAAACAAAAATGTCAGAATTGTAATATTTTGTGTTTAATTTACAGCTTATAGCTCTCCTTTCCCTTTGTTTTCCAACTTGTTGCTTTATTCTATCATTTTTCAAATATGATATTCCTCAACTCCTCCCCCCCTTTACTTCAAAGGGTCGTTCAAAACTCTTTGAAGCAAAGAAGTTAGGAATAACTGATGATGTGTGGAGCTGAGCTTCCAGCTTCTGAGCTTGCTTCTGCCCCCAGCTCCGGCAACTGACCACCAGAGCTCTAGCCTTACTTCATCTTCAAAGACTTTGAACATAAAACAAGTCTTCTCTCTCTTTTTTTTTTTTTAACTTATGAACTCATAGTTGTACCTCCTTTGTATTAGAGTGTAACCTCACATATACAACTCTTCTCAACTTCCTCACAAATGATTAGGAAGTTTGCACGGTTAGTCTAGCATACACAGTAGGAGTCTAGCTTTTTGCTGTTTGAAATATAAGACAATGAGTACCTGAAGTCTTACCCTTAAGGAGGCTCCCATATGCTGACATGCATAGCTGACCTTGACATATAAACAGGATCCTGGGTCAAACTGTTGCCTTGATGTGGCAGATCCAAAGGTCAGGATTTATCATGTTGGAAAGAAGTAGACATTTCCCTCTTGTCCTAGGGTGAGGGTTCATCCTTTTCATGCGCAGCAGACTAGAAAAGTACTGACTTATGCTA